GCTATAGGGCATCGCGCCCGGTCAGGTAAAGCATACGGTGTTTGTTAGTCCCTCTCTGCGCGTCCTTAGCCAAATGAGGAGGCGACGCTGATCTCTGCGTTGGTTTTTCTCACTCGATGTATCATTGTTGTTCCTCGAAGCATACATAGTGTTCTCATTTGGCTGCTGCGGCTGAAAAATACTTTGGTCTGATGAAGCCCGGTAGAAGATCGTGTGAGCATCCTCTATCCAGCTGGTCTGATAAGCAGTTTTCAATTCATTTTTGCCAAAAGATCCTGCGTATGCGAGGAATTTATTTTCTTTTGTCTGTAAGATGATCTATAGATTTTAGTAACACAGTGGGGAAGTGCTGTTTGTCATTTAGGGAGAAGCAGAACTTGCGATGCTGCCAATTTTTTTAGCTTTTTAGTTACTTTCTACTTTCTTTATTTTCCTTCGTGTGATCAGAAGACTGTAATTAGTTGTCACTCAGTTATTCCTGGAAACACAATGAAGGCACTCAGAAGCAGAAAGCAACATAAACAACAAAACAATTTGAAATCTGGCTGAATGGAAAGGAGGTTAATATTATTTAGGGGAAGAAGGTTTAAATTTAGCCTACATTCCTCATGATGACACGGTCACGTTATATAGGAAATATCCTTGTGGAGGGGGAGGGTGTTTGCACGTTTATTTTGTACGTAGATCGTTAACGACAAGCGTGCATTAGGATGAAATTCGGTTTGGGGAGAATTACTTTTTGGTTCCCCATGGTGCCAAGGGCAAGAGAAACCACTTGGGCTTCAACAGTCCGGGCAAGGGACTCGCTCCGTTTCCTCTGACGCCAACGGCCGCCCAAGCCGGCCCCCCCAGCCCACGGCAGCGTCTTCGCACCGGAGCGTGGAGACGGCACCGCACGCCGGTTTAATGTCACCGCAACTACCACGTGTAACGGCGCCGTAAAAACCACTGAAGCTGCACAAACCCGCTGCTTTTCTTAGAGGGTAGGGAATAAGCAGGGACTTGCAAATATTTCTTCTGCTGCTTGAGTCGTTTGGCTTGGGGTTGGGGTTTTTTTTTTTTTTTTTTGGTGTGCAGGATGCTGTGCACTGAAACTGTGGGAGCAAGGAAAGGATGGCCGAACTGATAAAAGCGATGTTGTTGTCCCCCATTTGGAGCGAGCAACCCAAAGCGCTCCCACAACTGATTGCGAGATTGGTAGCCTGAAACTGGGCACAGCAACAAAAAAAAGAAAAAAGATCCTAACTGTCCTGGTTGCCTTGTAGCCTTTGCTGTATTTTCACCCGTGAATATGGTTTTTGCTTTTTCGGTTTTCTATCTGTCAGAAACACAAAGGTGTTTTTTCTTTTAGCTGTATGTTTCTGTGGGTTGTTTTTATTTTTTAATTAAATTAGGCAGAACAGGTGGCATTACTAAGCCAAGTGTTGGTCAATAAGCTAACACCAGGGCCCGTAGCCTAAATCACTTTAATGATTCCCCCATCCATAAATATGTAAAAGCAAAGCACCTCTGGGTAAACAGCCCAGCGTCACTGAATCTTCATAGGACTACGGCCAAAAGAAGAGGGCAGTTAATTATTTTCTCCTAAGTTTCTAAATTTTCTCTCTTCTTCCCAGTCATTCAGGATTACCCCAGGTTTTGGAAGTTATCACCATTCAAACCACTCTTTAAATGGACTTTTCTCATATCAAAAATTCTTATGATTTCAAATAGGTGCTGGTGTAGCCATAGGTATTGATACTGCATGGGATGATTTTTTTTCTACCAAGATGTCAGCTATTTAATGTATATGCTAATTATCTGAGTAATTTCAAAATTGTGTGTCTTGAAAGCTGCTTTTTTAGTTGCATAACTTACAAAACACATTCCTGGCAGTGATTCTACATTTTAAAGACAACTGAGGAAGATGTTTTAAGTTGCGTTCCAGTTCTTCTAAACCGTCTTCTGCTTCCAGATCAGCTGCATGCACATTATTACAATTTCTCTTGTTATTCTTTAGAAAAATAGTTTAAAAAAAAAATCTTTCTCCGCAATTTTCCATTTCACAAGCCTAGGGAAGTTCTTGCTATGGGAAAAAGATATGTTTTGCTTGACCTCTGCTGCTGCAATGCTCACTGCTAAGAAACAAACCCCAGCTTCCTAAATTCTGTTTCTCACTACATCGTTCATTCTTGTGAAAGAAAAGGTGGAGTTACAAAGTTGCCTGTTGCTGTCAGCTGGTTGTGTGTTGTTTTAAATCGTATTTGCCCTTCAGTCCTCAAAATCTAAAAATAAAAAAAAAATTTAAAAATTTCCTTTTTCTTATCTTACACCCATAATCATACTGTTTGGAATTTATAACAGAGAAATAACAACCAGG